GAGCCATGTCTTAGTCAATCAACCACATGTTGAGCTAGGTGAGAGCTAGGTTAGAGGCAGGTGATAGCTAGGTTAGAGGCAGGTGATAGCTAGGTTAGAGGCAGGTGAGAGCTAGGTGAGAGCCAGTTGAAAGCTAGGTTAGAGGCAGGTGAGAGCTAGGTTAGAGGTAGGTGAGAGCTAGGTTAGAGGCAGGTGAGAGCTAGGTTAGAGGCAGATGAGAGTCAGGTGAGAGCCAGGTTAGAGGCAGATGAGAGTCAGGTGAGAGCCAGGTTAGAGCAAGGTGAGAGCCAGGTGTGAGCTATAGTTTAAGATGTACTGTAGCCCTGATGTTTTAAAGATGGTTGGTATCACAATGATGTTCCTGCTAGTGTTAAAATGTAGGTGAGAGTCATAGCTTGAGAGGTACTGTACAGCTTAAGAAATTGGCCCTTATTTCTTAAAGTTGGAGTGCTTGATGGTTGGTGAGATACAGGATAAAAAAAATTGACCTTATTTCTTAAAGTCAGCTTACCACTTTTATAAGACATCGTTAGTTGTGCTGGTGCTGTTCCAGTAGTTGAATATTCAATTACTTAATGGTATACCACCTTTAAACCAGTAATACCCAGGTATATTCAAGAAATAAGTGGTACTCAACTTTTAAACCAAGAAATAACCAAGGAGTATTGAATAATTAAGTGGTACTCCACCTTTAATCTAGGAAATGATAAGAATAACTAAGTGGTACTCTACCTTTAAACTAGAAAATGATAAGAATAACTAAGTGGTACTCTACCTTTAAACTAGGAAATGATAAGAATAACTATTTGATCAAATTATACCTTGACTTTATCCTGAACTTCATGAATTTCATTCTTCAAATACCGAGACAGTTTGTGTCATACTGAATCCAATTATTCTTTTAATAAAAAACCCAACTTTATTTTTTTAATCATCGCAAAATAAAGTTGAATTCTGGGATTAGACGACTCACTTCTTTAAAAAATAATTAAACCCCGCTTAATTTAATATAAGGGAGATAATTTCAACATAATTTGGTAATTATGATAGACAGATTTGAAAGGAAAAGAAAATTAAAATATTTAAAATTCGGAAGAGTTTGTAAGGTTGTAAAGAATGGAAGAAACTTTGACAGAAAAAGTCATACCACTGTTGAATCTTTTTCACAAGCTGAGAGACGTTCAGGGTTCAATCCCAGCATAGATTGAGATAACACCTCCAGATTTATCAACCTAGTTTCTCATCTAGTCATTGAGTCAGTAAGCAGGCTGGAGAAGTTGATATGAAAAAGTCTTTGGGATGAGATGATGAGTAAAACAGCAACAGGATCTGACTGTTAGATCTCTCGACTGTTAAGAGTAATATGTTGTGGGGTCTTCTAATAGTTTGTCTGGGAAAACACCAGTCATATCTATAATCCATAATAGATCAAATTATCAAGACTGTAAAAAATAAAAGGGTAATTGAAATTAGTCTTTATTGTGTGCAATGAGGGAAATTTTGCTAGTTGAGGTGAATCTACTTTACTTTTGACTTCAAATTGTAAAGGTATCTCCAACCTATTCCACATTTTTGAATCGATAACACTTGCCCTTTACATCCTCTAGGTTGACTTACTGACTTTATTTCTGTTCTTTAATCATTATCTAACACAACATCTTCTTTTACTACCCTTTACATCCTCTAGGTTGACTTTCTGACTTTATTTCTGATTTTTAATCGTCATCGTACACAGCATCTTCTTTTACTCTCGCCCTCTAGGTTGGATCATTTGTATATTACACAATCTCTTCTGAACTCTGTTTATTAAAATATCGTAGATTACTGTAGGAGCCATTAATGATTTGATAACATCAATATAACATTTTTCTTCACTTAACGTGTAAATTCAGTCGTACTAATTTCTGAGAACCAGAATCCCAATCTTTACAATATAAAAACAAGAGAAGATAATAAGATGTGATATTGTAATATAAAAACAAGAGAAGAAAATAAGATGTGATATTGTAATATAAAAACAAGAGAAGATAATAAGATGTGATATTGTAATATAAAAACAAGAGAAGAAAATAAGATGTGATATTGTAATATAAAAACAAGAGAAGATAATAAGATGTGATATTGTAATATAAAAACAAGAGAAGAAAATAAGATGTGATATTGTAATATAAAAACAAGAGAAGATAATAAGATGTGATATTGTAATATAAAAACAAGAGAAGAAAATAAGATGTGATATTGTAATATAAAAACAAGAGAAGATAATAAGATGTGATATTGTAATATAAAAACAAGAGAAGAAAATAAGATGTGATATTGTAATATAAAAACAAGAGAAGAAAATAAGATGTGATATTGTAATATAAAAACAAGAGAAGATAATAAGATGTGATATTGTAATATAAAAACAAGAGAAGAAAATAAGATGTGATATTGTAATGTAAAAACAAGAGAAGATAATAAGATGTGATATTGTAATATAAAAACAAGGGAAGATAATAAGATGTGAAATTGTAATATAAAAACAAGAGAAGATAATAAGATGTGATATTGAAATATAAAAACAAGAGAAGAAAATAAGATGTGATATTGTAATATAAAAACAAGAGAAGATAATAAGATGTGATATTGTAATATAAAAACAAGAGAAGATAATAAGATGTGATATTGTAATATAAAAACAAGAGAAGAAAATAAGATGTGATATTGTAATATAAAAACAAGAGAAGAAAATAAGATGTGATATTGTAATATAAAAACAAGAGAAGATAATAAGATGTGATATTGTAATATAAAAACAAGAGAAGATAATAAGATGTGATATTGTAATATAAAAACAAGAGAAGAAAATAAGATGTGATATTGTAATATAAAAACAAGAGAAGATAATAAGATGTGATATTGTAATATAAAAACAAGAGAAGAAAATAAGATGTGAAATTGTAATAAGAAATAGGAAAGATATAAAATGTGATATTGTTAAAAAAACAGAAAAGGAAAATAAAATTCACATGATTTCTTGTATTCTTATTGACATTTATTGGTTTGAACATTCTATACGATGGTTTATAATTGACGGGTACCAATATTAAAATTGACATCTCGTGGATTTGATCAACTTGAAGATGATTAACTGAGTTATTCTCGTCAAAAAATATGACAAAAAAATTTCAGCTGTCACTCAAATTCTGGTAAAATTGAACAATCTCCGTCAAAATTTGTAAATTGATAAAATTGGTGTCACATCTTCACAATTATCGTTGTCATTTTCGTTGAAACAATCAAAAAATTATCGAACTTTGTGATATTTTTAATATGTGAGGTCAGATAAAGTTTGTTAAATATTGCGACATATTTATAATCTACGTGGTGGCTGCGGGGAGAGTTCAGCGATCTTAAATCATTCGTTATTACAGTCTTAAGCTAATTATAGGCAATATTGAAATTATGATAATATGAAATAAGAAAGAAAGAAATATATTTTACAAGGATAATAATTTATAGTTACAGATCCTTTCTACCAGCTGGTCCTTGACCAAAAATTGGCAATGATCTTTCACAGATTATTGGTACCGATTTACAGCTACAGAGTTTCATGTTAAAATTTGTGCAACTTTTTGCAGCTTATTGGGTAATGCAGACAGGAAATACCATGCAGTGTGCAATGAGGGAATTTATTTAAGATAGCAGCGTTAGTCTACTCCAGTAGATAGACTGTGGATGGGTTTTTAACGTGCACATCCTCTACTATACCCATTCTTGGTTAATGCAAATGGGCAACACCGTGCAGTGTGCAATGAGGGAATTTAATTAAGATAGCAGCGTTAGTCTACTCCAGTAGATAGACTGTGGATGGGTTTTTAACGTGCACATCCTCTACTATACCCATTCTTGGTTAATGCAAATGGGCAACACCGTGCAGTGTGCAATGAGGGAATTTATTTAAGATAGCAGCGTTAGTCTACTCCAGTAGATAGACTGTGGATGGGTTTTTAACGTGCACATCCTCTACTATACCCATTCTTGGTTAATGCAAATGGGCAACACCGTGCAGTGTGCAATGAGGGAATTTATTTAAGATAGCAGCGTTAGTCTACTCCAGTAGATAGACTGTGGATGGGTTTTTAACGTGCACATCCTCTAACCCATTCTTGGTTAATGCAAATGGGCAACACCGTGCAGTGTGCAATGAGGGAATTTGGTTAGGATAGCAACATTAGTCTACTCTTTTATCATTTTCAACTTTGGATGTACCTGTGTATTGTGTATGTACACAAGACTCCAGTTTCTTGTTCGACTAGCGAGAAAACGCTATGTCCTATGTTATAATTGGAGGTTCAGTGAACTTGACGTCTGGTGTTCAGAATAGATTATAAAATATCAGGTCAGGTCTTAAAGTTAAGATTTTCTTGTCATGTTTTTTCTTGAATTTGACTCCATCTTAATAACCAATTTCATCCAAATGTCGGCCATTTGCAAAATTTACGCAGGAATATGGTGATTGGGTGTTGGAAAATATCCTGCCATCAATCACGAGTTGTCACGACGATGAGTAAGGGATTGAATTCTGATCGCTATGGTAATTGCTCTAGGGCATCCGTTATTTTTATGAAATTAAAGACAAGAGCCATATTTCAGAATTCTTCAGGAACTGAGACAATTGGTAACTGTAATAAAAGATTGTTTTTTTTCTGCGAGATGATAGGAGGTTATTAAATATCTTTAACGGGGTCACGTTTCTCACCTCTTTGTTTCTAGGGGGTTATTACCTCAATTATTACAGGTCAAAGTTCAAGATTATGATTAATTTTCGTTGTTAATCATGGAGTTTGATGGAAAATGACGGAGCTGTGAGATTTAACAGTTTTCAACATGAAGGCAATTAACTTTCAGAACAGTGGCGCCAACTTTCAGAACAGTGGCACCAACTTTCAGAACAGTGGCACCAACTTTCACCTTTTTTTAAGTGAGAATATTATTTTATTAAAATACTTGATTAATTTTTGCTGTTTATTTATTTATTTATTTATTTATTTATTTATTTATTTATCTATTTATTTATTTATCTATTTATTTATTTATTTATTTATTTATTTATTTATTTATTTATTTATTTATCTATTTATTTATTTATTTATTTATTTATTTATTTATTTATCTATTTATTTATTTATCTATTTATTTATTTATTTATTTATTATTTATTGGAATATTATTTTAGAAATGGTTTTTCTTCTGAGGATAAAGAGGCAAGGAAAAAATGTCAAAGAAATTTGTGGTGGGATGGGGTTGGTGTTTTGGGGACTGTGGGGTGGGGTTTGGTGTTTTGGGGACTGTCGGGTGGGGTTTGGTGTTTTGGGGGTGGGGTGGGATAGGGTGTTGTGGGGGTGAGAATCACTGACTTGAGGAGAATATGTGCTCATTAGTTCACGTTGGCATGGTATGTGAAAAGTAATTCATTGATTTGACTGATTGGGCTGAAGAAGATGGATAAAACCATGCAGTGTTCAATGAGGGAAATATCGCTGGGACGGAAGAATTTGCTAAATATCCCAGTTTGATTAATGAATTTTTTATAGACATAAATAATGCTGAGTTGTTTAATGTGTTTAAATTTGAACATGCATCTGACACACAATTCCTTAATCATTTTATTATAAAATCATTCTATCTCAATTTCCATTTATCATGGGCACAAAAACCTCCAAAAATTTTGAGCCTGGATTTCGTCAAGTGATTTTAAAAAGTCTCTGACTTGGTATTTACGTGTTAATAAACACAAGTTTTGTTTCGGTCATTTATCTTAATCTGAGGTTTTAGTTGACATTTTCTGATTGATTTCCTTTTTCTTATAAATCAGAATTAATCAAAATATTCTCTTTTTTAAGTGTGTTTTTTGGGTAAAAATCTCTATTTTGTCTACCTCCGCATAAGTTATTTCTGTCAAAATACTAGCTGATAAGTCCTGTAATAGAAAGTTAAGAAATTTGTTTTGAACAACTAGCTGTCCTGATGAGGATTGTGTATCTGAAACATATTTGCATGAGATGAGCTCCAGTCATTTACCTTAATTCTAGATTGGAGATAAGATAGATTGAAACGTTAACCTCCATTTCGTTTGTTTATTTGAAACATGTATCAACATTAGCTCTGATCATGCCCCTCATTTTCAAACACTAGCTGCCCAGATGAAGATTTTATCCCCTAAAAGTTATGACAGTATGAGATGAACTCTAGAGTTGAGTAATTGTCTGTAAGAGAAAGTGTTGGTTATAAACACATTAAGAAAGTGAAAGAATAATTAGCTCCTTCACAATATTAATAACTTTCTTTCAAAAATTAATGACAAATTATTGACCCTTTTTCTTCCTCTTTTGTTTGTTCTGGCCTGAAAATGAAAGTTTATTGAAAATGTCAAAGTTATGGTAATTTTTCTTTTTTCTCCCAAAATGAATCTCATCTGTTTGTCATTTTTGAGAAAAGAGTAAAAAATTGAATAATTAGGTCTGATAATTAATTTGAGTCTGTAATGAGGTTATCAAAGAAATTCAAGATGGCTGTTGTTCTCATTCTTTTTATGTCAATATTTCATTTATTCCTAGTAAAATATAATATTTATAATTGGTGACAAAATAACTTTAAATAATTGTGTAACACAAGTTATAGACATGTAGTTGACTTTCTCTATCTCAAATGTACATTAGAATTCATGACGATCATATATATATATATAAATATAGTAGTGCTTTACATATTGTGATACAAGGGTCACCATACGATACATATTGTGATACAAGGGTCACCAACCGATACATATTGTGATACAAGGGTCACCATACGATACATATTGTGATACAAGGGTCACCATACGATACATATTGTGATACAAGGGTCACCATACAATACATATTGTGATACAAGGGTCACCAACTGATACATATTGTGATACAAGGGTCACCAACCGATACATATTGTGATACAAGGGTCACCATACGATACATATTGCGTATGTATCGCAATACAAGGGTCATGATACGATACATATTGCAATACAAGAACCTTTCAACTAACTAGCTATCACCTTTCAACTTACTAGCTAGAACCTTTCAACTAGCTAGCTAGAACCTTTCAACTAACTAGCTATCACCTTTCAACTAACTAGCTAGAACCTTTCAACTAACTAGCTATCACCTTTCAACTAACTAGCTATCACCTTTCAACTTACTAGCTATCACCTTTCAACTAACTAGCTAGAACCTTTCAACTAACTAGCTAGAACCTTTCAACTAACTAGCTATCACCTTTCAACTTACTAGCTAGAACCTTTCAACTAACTAGCTAGAACCTTTCAACTTACTAGCTAGAACCTTTCAACTTACTAGCTATCACCTTTCAACTAACTAGCTAGAACCTTTCAACTTACTAGCTATCACCTTTCAACTTACTAGCTAGAACCTTTCAACTAACTAGCTAGAACCTTTCAACTTACTAGCTAGAACCTTTCAACTTACTAGCTATCACCTTTCAACTTACTAGCTATCACCTTTCAACTAACTAGCTATCACCTTTCAACTAACTAGCTATCACCTTTCAACTAACTAGCTATCACCTTTCAACTAACTAGCTAGAACCTTTCAACTAACTAGCTAGAACCTTTCAACTAACTAGCTATCACCTTTCAACTAACTAGCTAGAACCTTTCAACTAACTAGCTAGAACCTTTCAACTAACTAGCTAGAACTTTTCAACATGTCATTGTAGTGGGTAATAATTGAAGATAACTTCAGATCATAAATGTTATTGAATAATACTAATCAGTAATTATAGTATTATTATTAACCTATGACATGATGTGATGACACGACGACATGACTGTCACTTGGCATTAGCCTCGTGTCATGTCAATAATGTGATATGACAGTGAGATGACATGACTATTAATATTCTGTTCTGTATAATTTCTATTGTTGTTTTGTCTTCAAGTGTTGAATGACTTGCAGTGTACCATGAGGGAAATTTTGTCAGAACAACATCGTTAGCCTACTCTTTTGTGATTTCTGACTGTCGAGGGATCATGAACACCTGTTTATTTTGTAAATTTTTAAAAAATTAATTTTTTTTTTTAAGGTAACATTCCACTCTTACAAGATCAAAAATATTTTAGTAAAATGGGGCCAAGAATGAATGTTTCAGTTTAATTAGTAATTAACGAACTTATCTTGTTGTGTATCATTTTAACATCGTAAATTATTATTTATGACTATTAATATCCCATAATACCTCACTCTAATCGTCAGCGTGGAACCGCAGTGGAACTATTGTTTAGTACCAATAATAAATCATCATTATCAATATGGTATATCACAATCTAATTAGTCTACTGGGTAATCATGTCTACTTTATATTCTACTGTCATAGCTCTGATCGTCTGGTCTTTTTATTCATTTATCAGATTTTAATCAGTCGGTGATGATTATTTCTTTATGAAATTCACTGGAAATGTACAAACACTTGAATATTTTAACAATTTATTTATTTGAGATGATATCATACTTGGAAATATTTCTGAGAATGAAAAACAAATTCTTCAAATAACGTCTTTAATTCAGAAGTTGAACATCAATATTGTTTTTCTCAGTGTTTTGGGTTTAAATCTCACTCAAGATCAGAAAACTCTTTTTGAGAAACTTTAAGTTTCTACAAAACCTTGATATCACTTTATGACTTGATAATGTCTTGTAGCATCATTAAGCACAAAAATGACCCCCTCCCCATCCCCCAGTTAATGACTCGTAAACACCTGTTATAAAAAAGTAAACCTTTTCTGAACCCCAGTACATGATATTGTATTTTTATAAGCAAAAAAGAGATGATTACCAGTCAGTGGATATTCCAGATGCTATTTGGCGGACACCAGGGAAAAATAACGAAGAATTTGTAATAAAGAAGACAATTAATTTTCCCGTTTTCACGAAGTTTTCACGAAGTTTTCATAACTAGTAATATATTTTTATGAACACAAGGGAGATAATTTATATAGATATATCATGTCATTGTTTTTATTTAATCTCAAAATGAAAACACAGTATAATTCTTTTTCTCATTATTTTTTCTTGTGTTTTTTATTACACCTACAATTCTTGTGTTTTTTATTACATCTACAATTCTTGTGTTTTTTATTACATCTACAATTCTTGTGTTTTTTATTACATCTACAATTCTTGTGTTTTTTATTACATCTACAATTCTTGTGTTTTTTATTACATCTACAATTCTTGTGTTTTTTATTACACCTACAATTCTTGTGTTTTTTATTACATCTACAATTCTTGCTCTCGTGTCAAATATTGTGCTCTATTGTCTTAACAAGAAGAGATTTTTCATATTAGTTTTAATTAAAAACTGAATGTGTTTCTTTGCCAATTTCTTCGTGTTTATAATAGATTTCTATACAGCACATTGTTTGTGTAAATTTGAGTAAAAAATGGATTATCACTCTTAACTGAGCAGTACCATTCCATAATTCTAGCTTGAAAAGCCTTTACCAGATACTTTGATTTACACTTCTGTTGTCTCTTTCTTGACCGTCTTCATTAGCCCACATGGTGCAGAAGAGAAGGATGTAAAACTCCATTCATTTCATTTCATTTCATTTGTCTGTTTCTAGACAAATTTCCCTTATTGCACACTGCATAGCATTGCTTGTTTTCAGTAACACTATAAGGATCAGCCACAAGTACTCTAAAACATGAAGTATTAGAATTCCCTATTTATAACTTTACCAGATACTTTACCAGATTTACACTTCTGTTGTCTCTTTCTGGACAAAATTTCCCTCATTGCACACTACAATGCATTGCTTGTCTTCAGTATTAGGAACAGACACTATGGCCTCCTCAAGCAAGAGCCTACAATTCGTCCACCCAATAAAAAAACCGAAATGAACATGTGATTATATATTGAAAAGGATTGATTATTTTTGTACGAGGGAAGATTTATCGTGGCTCCAGTCCGTCCGTCAAGTTAAAATGGTACTCAATATTTCCCTGATCTTCCAGGATATTTTCGTACGGTAACAAATCTCCCCGGAATTCTTCTCTGAATCTCAAACAAGTAAATTTGACAGGGAAGAAATTTGACAAATGAGATATGAAGTCACGAGCTTGAAGAAACATTGTCAGTAATTTCACGCAAATACCTTTTTACAGTTCCGCAGAAATTGTCACCATGTTTTGATCGAGTCGTTATTAAATTCCTCTTTTCAATGAAATAGACATTTGTAATATTGAAATAGAAAGATTAGTTTTTGTCTTCAGAAATTAGTTTATCTTTCTTAAATAACCTTCAAGTCAATTTGTTCATGATACAGAATGGG